TCTGTTTCTGTCCCTGCCATGTGATCCCTTAGCTGCCCTGCTGTTGGTCTGGGTATTTAAGAAGCATCTTTCAGGGACATATGATCAATAATAGTGCATTTCCTATATTGGAGGAAGACTGTTATTTAGGATCAATACACTGTAATTTGCCAGCGTAGGTTGATTCCATGGGTGAATGATTGAATGGCATTTTCATAAGGGGTCCTTGGCAGACCAGGGTGATTGGAATGTGACACTGATAGTGTGCTCATACTTGTTACTCCCTGTGGATCAAACTTTGAGGGACTAGCATGGCAGTTGGCAAGGTGCTTTGCTAACAGTGTAGTCGTGCATTGTTTTTTGACAAGGATGCTTTTAGGTGTATGCCATCAAACTTCATCCTTCTGAAAACTCCATGCCCCTGAGGTTTAGCCTGTGCCTTCTAGGCTGCAAAACTAGCCTTATAGCATGTGACTGTGTTGAACATTAAACCCAATTTCTGTATTTATATGTCTAGTCATAAAAAGATATGAAGTAAAAGATTTACAGAGGTTCAGCTCAGGGCAGTCACCATGAATGAAGCTTTCTGGGTTGTAGGTTGCTCTGGGTGGGCCAAGGATTGTGTGAAGTCCTTGGACATGACTATGTGCTACTGACGGTGTGATCTAATAGACACTGAGCACTTAGGCTGTGCTACACTCATAATGACTGTTTCCCTTGGGTAATAATACTGTAACTCTTTATAAACTTTTGATTTTAGTATTCTTTTGTAAAGATACCTTAAAATACATTGTAAAACAAATATATTATAAAAAAGGCATAAAAACAAAAATATTTTCTTAATTCACACATTAGCCTAGGTCTATAGCAGATCACCTATAAACAGGGTCCCCATCACTGCACACAGGGTCCCCTCCCTCATCACTATACACAGGGCCCCCCCCCCATCACTATACACGGGGTCCCCTCCCCCACCACTATACACAGGGTCCTCTCCCCCATCACTATACACGGGGTCCCCTCCCCCACCACTATACACAGGGTCCTCTCCCCCATCACTATACACGGGGTCCCCTCCCCCACCACTATACACAGGGTCCTCTCCCCCATCACTATACACGGGGTCCCCTCCCCCACCACTATACACAGGGTCCTCTCCCCCATCACTATACACGGGGTCCCCTCCCCCACCACTATACACAGGGTCCTCTCCCCCATCACTATACACGGGGTCCCCTCCCCCACCACTATACACAGGGTCCTCTCCCCCATCACTATACACGGGGTCCCCTCCCCCACCACTATACACAGGGTCCTCTCCCCCATCACTATACACGGGGTCCCCTCCCCCACCACTATACACAGGGTCCTCTCCCCCATCACTATACACGGGGTCCCCTCCCCCACCACTATACACAGGGTCCTCTCCCCCATCACTATACACGGGGTCCCCTCCCCCACCACTATACACAGGGTCCTCTCCCCCATCACTATACACGGGGTCCCCTCCCCCACCACTATACACAGGGTCCTCTCCCCCATCACTATACACGGGGTCCCCTCCCCCACCACTATACACAGGGTCCTCTCCCCCATCACTATACACGGGGTCCCCTCCCCCACCACTATACACAGGGTCCTCTCCCCCATCACTATACACGGGGTCCCCTCCCCCACCACTATACACAGGGTCCTCTCCCCCATCACTATACACGGGGTCCCCTCCCCCACCACTATACACAGGGTCCTCTCCCCCATCACTATACACGGGGTCCCCTCCCCCACCACTATACACAGGGTCCTCTCCCCCATCACTATACACGGGGTCCCCTCCCCCACCACTATACACAGGGTCCTCTCCCCCATCACTATACACGGGGTCCCCTCCCCCACCACTATACACAGGGTCCTCTCCCCCATCACTATACACGGGGTCCCCTCCCCCACCACTATACACAGGGTCCTCTCCCCCATCACTATACACGGGGTCCCCTCCCCCACCACTATACACAGGGTCCTCTCCCCCATCACTATACACGGGGTCCCCTCCCCCACCACTATACACAGGGTCCTCTCCCCCATCACTATACACGGGGTCCCCTCCCCCACCACTATACACAGGGTCCTCTCCCCCATCACTATACACGGGGTCCCCTCCCCCACCACTATACACAGGGTCCTCTCCCCCATCACTATACACGGGGTCCCCTCCCCCACCACTATACACAGGGTCCTCTCCCCCATCACTATACACGGGGTCCCCTCCCCCACCACTATACACAGGGTCCTCTCCCCCATCACTATACACGGGGTCCCCTCCCCCACCACTATACACAGGGTCCTCTCCCCCATCACTATACACGGGGTCCCCTCCCCCACCACTATACACAGGGTCCTCTCCCCCATCACTATACACGGGGTCCCCTCCCCCACCACTATACACAGGGTCCCCTCCCCATCACTATACACAGGGTCCCCTTATCACATCTTGGTCTACTGGAAGGCTGTTTACGGATTGAACTGATGTCTCCTACACTTAACCTTTTTGTCTGCTAAACTTGGTGTTAGAAGTAATGATCTCCTGACCCCAGCCCCATTTCTGGCTCCTTTTTCCTATTTCCATTTAACTCTTAACCAGATCACCATATCTGTGGCTCTTTTGCATATTTTTACTTTAATTATTATCTCTAAGTGATGTGAGAATATCATTTCTCTTTTTGTAATTCTTGGGTTTTGTTGTTTGGGTTTTTTTTTTTTCTTCATTATTATCTTACCTCAGCTTCCCAAGTGTTCAGATTCCAGGCAACTATAGGTGATTACCTCATCTGCCTATAATTTTTTACTTGTTTTGGGAGACAGGGTGTCATGGTAGGCTGTCCTAAAACTAGCCAAGAATGCCCTTGACCTCTGATGCTCTGTTAACTTTCTGTGGTAAAAAAAGGAGGGCTTCCCACCCCCTGTACCTTTTTCCTCCCTTCACCCTGCCATCCCCAGGACATAGAGTCCTGTCTTCCTTCTGTAGCTGTCTGTCCTCTGTGTAACTCTGTAGTCAGCACTTACCCAATTACAGATCTGTAAGCACACTTCACAGCCAGACCTTGTCACTTTCCTGTAATAGCCTGTGAGTTGTGACCTTTTTTGGGGGGGAGGGTTGACTCTTTACAGGGGTTACCTAAGACCATCGGAAAACAAATGTATTTACATTGTGATTTATAACAGTAGCAAAATTAGTTATGAAGTAACAATAAAAATAATTTTATGTTTGGGGTTACCACAACATTAGGAACTATATTAAAGGGTCACATTAGGAAGGTTGAAAACCACTTGCTGTAATCATCTTTCCTTTTCTGTACAGTAGTTTGTTTCCCACAGAGTGGATAATTAATTGCCTTGTGTTTTGTTTTTAGTAGTTTTCTATGTATTTATTTATCTTCAACGTATGCCTTATAGTTAAAAGCCTTGGCTAACCCATCGGTCTCGTGCCCTTGAAGACCTCAGTACGCATCTAGACTGATCACTTTGTTGAGTCAGTATTACAGCTGCCACAGAGCTCTGTGGCTCTCCCTTCATTGCCATCCTAGAAAGTCCTGGCTCTTACTTTCATTGAGTTTTCTCACTTGCTTTGCAGAATGCATCCTCTGCAGACATGGCAAATGCTCTAAAGTCATGTGTATATAAAAAAAGGTTTAGTTGCATGGCTAGGTCCAGAATCTAAATTGGAAATCATATTGCTTACTAATTTGAAGCCCTTCCCCAAGCAGTCTCTTTTTGTGGAATGTTCTCTCAAAGTCATATTCATATGGATCCTTCATCTAAAGCTTGGTTTTCATCTCTGGGGACTTGGGCATGGCTGTACCCAGTTCTGAAGTGTTGAGACCTGGAATCTTTCAGTGGCCGTCTGCTCCCTTCTCTTGTGCTGAGCATTCAAAGCTCCCTTTCCGCTAGGAGGGTCAGATCCTCTGTGTGGTCTGGCAGCTGGCTTTCCTGAAGTAGAAATCCTGATTGCTTTCTGGAAAGGGAAAGGGTAAGGAAACATTTTCCAAAGCTGGGGCACTAGCAATTAAATGTTGAAAGGGGATCATGGTAATTAAATTGGCCAACTAGAATGTAAAAGGATGTTGAAGGTGATGAAGAGGTGGCTCAGTGGTTAAGAGCATTTATGGCTCTTACAGAGCACCAGGTTTGACCTTCCTCCCCCACCCACATGGTGGCTCACAACCAGCTATAACTGCTATTCCAGAGGGCCCTCTTCTGCACCAGGCACACACTTGGTTACACACATATACATGCAAGTGAAACATCCATGCACATAAAATAAATAAGTCTAAGAAAACAGAAAACAAAAGGGGTGCTGCAGTCATACATGCAGAGACATTTTCATGTCTTTGATGGAGCAAACACAAGTTGCATCAAGTGAGTTATTTCAGCTGTTTACTATTTGAGTATCCAGCCCAGACTTGCATCTTAGGCAGCAAGGTTATGTTATCAACTTCTCTCCCACTCTTACTAAAAGGAAAAGTAGCTGCTGTTGCCCGTGTAATTTCAGAGGGCTGAAAATACATCATTTTCAGTCCCTTGTTTCACAAATTTGACTGACTGCCTCCAATTGCTTTGGCCAATAAATCAGAACTGTTATCCTTTGGGTAAAAAATGCATCTCTAAATGTTCGCTTAAGGTTCATGCCACTAAGGTAAACCAAACTCTAATTCTTTCTGTTTCATTGTATTAAAATTAAGTTGGATGGAGGCACATGGCTTAGTGGTACAGCACCTGCCTGGTGTGCTTGAGGCCCAGGGTTAAAATCCCAAACCTCCAACGTCACTGCAATGTACTATCGGGAAATGCCAGGATCCGAGAGAGGTTCTAGAGCCAGATATGTCATCCCTAGTACTGTACACTTTCCATATGATGAACAGTGCATGTGTACATGATGAAGATTGGATGTGTTTTGATAAGCAAATAGAATGATAGCAAAGATTCTCTCAAACTAATGATGACTCTCACTTTCTCCTTTCCAATAGCTCTTTGGAGACTGGGAAGCTCAAGTGCGGAGAATAATGAAGCTCATTGCTGGAGGTGGCTTGTCCATCACAGGCTCTCACAACATGTGTGGGGACTATCTATACAGTGGCCACACGGTCATGCTAACGCTCACCTATTTATTTATCAAAGAGTGTAAGTCTACAACAGCCTTGTTTCGTAATTTCCTCACCTGCCACTCCCCATGGTCCTTTGGAAAGTCAGTGTGGGGGAAATCCCCTAAAGCCAGACTGGAGGCCTGAGGACAGTTGCCTTATCTTATTATCCCTGTGCACCCCGCAAATGTGTGGAAAGCCCTTAGCTGCAACTCTTGTGTGTGTGGGTGGGTTCCTTGTTCCTGGACATCAGCTGTAATGTTTGGCCAGTCTTTAATATGTGTCATCATTTACATATGTTTATATGTATATATGTATTTGAGTGTTTGTATATGTATGTGTATATGTGTGCATTTGTATATGTATTTGCATATATATATGTGTATATATATATATATACATACATACACACATAAATATGTTCTGCCACTTTTTACTTTCCAGATTGTTTTGGGCACATGAGGCTTGGTTCATTCATTTTAATTGCTGTTAGGGTTTAAGCCCTATAATTGAACAACAGATGCTTTATTTCTCTGGAAAATTGAGTTTCCCTTAAAATTTTCCTGTCAGAAGCCACTCAGTGAGCACTCTCTAGGCAGTTTCCCTGAAGAGTGATAAAGGAAATATAGGCTTCAGTGGTCCCGCAGAGATAGGACACAACAGCACACTCTGGAAATGTCCTAGAAAATGTCCCAGCCCTTGAAAGTGTGTGCTGGGAGCTGAGAGTATAAATGGATGAGTAGCAACGATCAGAGGGTACCCCAAGCCTCAGAGCGGAGTGGGTGGGAGACAAAAGCACCCTGCAGGAGCTTTCAAGAGGAATTGGAGAGAACAGACTAGAAACCAAGAGACAAGTCATTGACTTCTGTTGTGGTTGTGCTTAGCAGGTGTGACTGGACTTGTCCGTCACCCGTGGGAGAAGTGGAAGGCATGGAAGAGGATGGCGAGCACAGATAGCCCAGGTGGTGGGGAAGGAGGAGGAGGAAGCAGGCCGGCAGTCCTGTCCTTGAAGCAGAAGTAAAAGGAGGGAGGTGTTCTGCCGGGGACCTGACTGTGCGAACAAGTGAACTAAATAGAGAAACGCTGTAAGGGCATCTGGCCCTCATACCACAATAGAACCAAGTATAGAAAATGGGAACCTTAGGGAGAAAGGGGTCCCTGTCCCCTACTGTTTGACATCTGAAGTAACTTTTCATGTTAAAATTTGTACTGGACCATAAGCACCATACTATATTGGCCTTGCAAGAATCACAGAACTCTTAATTTGGGATCCTGGAACTATCAGCCCCCAGCATTGTGACCCTGGGAAAAACTCTAACATCCATGTGTCTTTGTCTCCTCATTTTTAAAATGAGTTTTTATTGCCTGAGTGGGGAAGGGGTTATGTTTAGTAACTGCTATTGCTACATCATTAAGGTATCAAGTATGAATATTAGGGGCCTAGTCCTGCCCCCATCACCCAACTTCAGATTGCAACAACACCAAACATATCAAAGAAGAAAGAAAACCCTTTTCCCCCCCTCTCCTTCAGATCCCCTCATTCTTGTTCCACCTTTAGTACAACACGCTACTCTATAATTAGTCTCTTCCTCCCCTTCTCCCCTCCGTCCTCTCCCCACTCTTCATGTTGGCCCAGGCATCTGGAGCACTGCCAGTCTCTGGGCATGGTGGGTGCACACTGCCTGAATGGGTGACTGTTGGACCCCTTGAGAATCCAGTAAGAACAGCAGACTTCTTCCCGGAAATGGGGGCAGTAGATCCATCCATTCAAACTTTTCTCTGGACTCCCGGGCTCTCTAGCCCCCTACCCGCTGAGAATGTGAAATAGAAAGCCATACCTGTACTGACGAAGGGCTGTCTCAACTGCCTTCCCAAATCTGGGCACAAACAAGTATTTGTTTGGCAAAGTCCTGTCTTTAGGAAGATGTTTGGACTACAAATTCCAGGCATGCGTTCTTATGTTTATATTTAAGAAACAGGGACCTCATAGTCTTTCAGATAAGTGTGTAGTTACAGAACCTGGAAGGCAGGTTAGCAGCCGTAACGATCATAATTGCTTGATCCGTGTCTAAGCCTCTGTGTCACAAATGTGAGCTGAACAAGGATGACACCACTGAGCATGTCAGACTGGATGGGGAAAAGACCATGAGGCCTCAACTCTACACACAGAACTCTAGGCAACTGAGCAGAGCTGGGAACATGAGAGGTGGCCCTCCCCAGGGAAGAGCATAGCAATTGATTGTCCAGTGTCAAATGATCCACCCTGAAAATATACATACACGTAATATTACATGGCATACTCAGCAGGTTATGTTTATCAATATATGTGCATATACAAACACATATGTATGCAATAACAGCCAGTGGGGAAAAAAAGGCCATGAACTTGGAGAGTGGGGAGGGGCATATGGGAGGATTTGGAGGGAGGAAAGAAAAGAGAGAAATGTAATTAAATTATACTCTCAAAAATTAAATTTAATGAATGCATCTGTGACACATTAGGTGTTGGGTTTATATTAAGCATTCACTCCAGTTAATCTCCAGGTAAATTTAATGAATGGTCATTAGACAGGTCTTGGGGAGACAGCTCAGTGGGTATAGTGCTTGAGGTATGAGCATGAGAATACCAGGTAAGCATGGCACTGTACTTGAAATCCCAGAGCTGGTGTGGACAAAACGGGTTCCTGGGAGCAAGCTGAGTAGCTAGACTAGCTGGACCGGTGACATTTGGTGGTTTCATATTGAGAGACCATCCCTCAGTACATGGCTTTTACATATGAGGCACACAAACACCGACATACATGTGTGACTATACATGCATACACATACCACACATACACACTTAAAAAATGTCAGTAGACAGTCTTTAAAAGTAGCCGGTGATGGTGGCACACGCCTTTAATCCCAGTACTCAGGAGGCAAAGGCAGGCGGACCTCTATGAGTTCGAGGTTAACCTGGTATTCAGAGTGAGTTCTAGGACAGCCAGAGCTACAGAGAGAAACCCTGTCTTGGGCAGGGCAGGGGGGAATGGTAAAACAAAAATAAAGTGCAATGCAGTAACTGAGCATATTTGGCCATGGCCACCTTTCCTTTTTTAAAAATTTATTTTTATTTTATGTACACTGGTGTTTTGCCAGCAGGCATGTCTGTGTGAGAATGTCAGATCATGGAGATACAGAGAGTTCTGAGCTGTATATGGGTACTAGGATTTGAACCCAGGTCCTTTTGAAAAGCAGTTAGTGCCCTTAACCACTGAGCTATCTCTCCAGCACCCATAGCTACCTTTTAAGTTCTATTTCTGATTATATAAAGCAAGTTATAGCCCTATATGAATTACTGCTGCTAGTCACATCACCCATGAAAAGCTGTTTCCATCTAGCCATGGTTATAGAGAAATAAAGTCTTTTGGTTTGCTGGCCCAGGCTTTTAGGAGGAAAGCTGTAAGACAGTTGGTCTTGGGAATGGTGGGGGCGTGGCTGAGTGCTCTTCATGGTATTTGAAAATGGGATTATTGCACATTTTTCCTCTTTCTAGATTCCCCGAGGCGACTCTGGTGGTACCACTGGATTTGCTGGCTCCTTAGCGTCGTTGGAATCTTCTGTATTCTCTTAGCGCATGACCACTACACTGTGGACGTGGTGGTGGCCTACTACATCACCACAAGGCTCTTCTGGTGGTATCACACAATGGCCAATCAGCAAGTGAGTCCCCCCTCGTGCCCCTGGCTTGTTGCTGCCTGCTTAGGCTGGAGTGAGAGGCATTGGAAAGGAAAAGAACCTGTGGATATTTTCCAGTTTCTCCTCCTTAGGAGTAGCCAACTTAGATGGTACCGACATTTATATTATCTATCCTCTGCAGAATCAATTCTGTAACGTGTTAATGTAATGACATATTACTTCCTTCTGAAATACAGACTCTCACTGTCTATGAAAAAAAAATTCTCTAAGCCTGTGTCTGCACTTTGCTAGATATTCCTTCCTAACCCCCTTTTGTTATGATGGGCCCCTCCCCAGTTTCATAGTTACACTTAATTAAGTTTTTCCCTTATTATAAGCCTAGGAGAGAAAGGAAAAGACTGAGCTATTTAATAGGCAAGAATTGGGGGCATCTCTGCTTCCCTCCTCGTTCTGCTGGAATCTTATGCGTTCAGGGTATAGTATGGTGAGCTAAGGGTGAATGAAGCTGGGCTATGTGGGGTGTGTAGGACAAGTCTGGGATCCTTTGAAATTAGACATGGAAAATGTTTTTAATTGCAAGATTGGGGACCAGTCTGTCCGGGAGTGTTTGAATTTTAACATGGGAACTATTTTAAATGAAAGATAGTAAGATAAACAATGTGTATGTTCTTTGCTTTCTTAGGTGCTGAAGGAAGCTTCCCAGATGAACCTCCTGGCCAGGGTGTGGTGGTACAGGCCATTTCAGTACTTTGAAAAGAATGTCCAAGGAATTGTACCTCGATCTTACCATTGGCCCTTCCCCTGGCCAGTAGTCCACCTTGGTAGGCAAGTTAAATATAGCCGGTTGGTAAACGACACATAACAGCTCTACAAAGTAGGGGAATGAGGAACTGTCCGAAGTGCTAAGAACTCCATGAGAGAAGATGCCATAAATAAACACCTCCCTACTGCTATTATCTTTCAACAGTTACCTTGACTTAACCTATTGAGTTACCTGGTCAGCACTGTGATCTTTTTTTTTTTTTTCTCTCTCCAAAGGACCTGCGTTGGACACCAATAAAGAAAATTTACCTTATCATGCACTGTACACATTTCCTGTTGTTAAACCTGGGGCTTCTCTAACCAGCAGCCACCGTGTTCCTCTGTGTAATCCAGCAGCACCACTGTGCGCTTCCATATCATAAGCTCTGGCCTTTCCAGCCACATCTGGAAGTAAAGTGTGTTATTTTCTTGGGAAAACATACTTTTCATATCTCTTGCCCCAAAGACAGGGCTGTAAGCCATTTTCTAGCAAATGTCTCTATGAAGGGTTCTAAGTGTCTGTGTGGGGTTTGGTTCAGAAATCTCTGCCTGCTGCACTGAAGATGGTAGGTGTGGAGAGGTCTGCTCACTTGGGGGTTTTATAAAATCAGCAGAGATGGTGTATCAAAAACTGAAAAAAAAAGATTCTGTTATAAAGTGATTTTTCTAAGTATTTCCTAACTTTATTTTTCAAAATGATGTTGTGAAAACCAAATTTAAAGATTTTTACATGTCACAGAAGAGTTAAAATTTAAAAATGCTTCTTGGGAGAGAAATTTGTCTATGTTTCTAGTGCCTTTCTTGTCTTGATTGTATGGTTGGTAGGCAATCTTAAATGTTTTTATTTAAAATAAAGTATTCCATGAAAATATAAATGTATGTATACACTACTAAATTTTGCATTTATAGCTAAATTAAATCAAAAGACTGCTAATGGTCTTAAAAATGTTTTGAATTAACGAATAGGGGTGTGAATTAAGAGTACGTGCCCAATCACAGATTGTGAGCAGGCAGCCATGACACATGCCACTGAAATTATTTCATCTATTTGGTAGTTCAGTTTTAACTACTCAATAAAAACAGCCATGAATATCTTTTTTTTAAAGAGAGTTTTGAAAATCATTTAACCTAAAACTTGAAAGCTATAAACTAGTTATCCATACTCTCATGACAATTTTGTTGGTGAACAGCAACAACAACAACAACAACAAAGAGATCTATTTCTTTAAAATATATTTGTGCAGAAACTGCATGTAACTCTTGAGTTTTACTCCTGACATACGGTTGTTTGGGGAAGTATTCTACTCTATACTTGCCAACGTGGAGAACAAACTAGTTTTCTAAGAACGAAGAAGTATATATATATATAAAATATCCATTCTGTATTTTATGTGCAGCAGAATTACCTTCTGTAGGTTTTGTGTGTATGTGTGTGCAGAAGCATGTGTGTGTGTGTGTGCGCGTGCGTGCGTGCGTGCGTGCGTGCGTGCGTGTGTGTGTGTGGTGGTGTGTGACTTACAAGGTGATATTTGTATTGTAAAACAATAATGGTGAAGGAAATAAAAAGGCTTTTAAATTTTTGTTTGTTTTAAATCTTTGTAAAATTATTATTCCAGAGCGTATACTGATATCTTACAGCTTACCTAAATCATAACTTAATCAAAATGCACTTTTTAATAAAAACTGATACTGAAAGTATGTGGCTATTATATTGTGTTCATCTTCACAGAACTCATGAAGTTGTTAAGTCAATGCAGAACCAAGCCTTGAGATCTCTTCAAAGCTTGTTTGATCCAAATCTTTATTATTTACCTATTTCTTCATGCAGGACTTTAAAATGTACTTTCAAAAAAACCCTACAGGTCTTTGTTTTTCAGTATATAAAAAGAATCACAGATAAGTTAAAATCAAACTGTTACCATTGTTTACAATACCTGTGAATTCTCTGATTCTCAGCCAAATTGCCCCCCCCCATTTTTTTTTTTTTCTGTAATGGAACCAATGTAGCCTTTTCACTGTGTAGATGGGAAGGAAGGGTCTTGAGTCAGCCGTTCTCAACCTTCCTAATGCTGAGATCCACAGTTCCTCATGTTGTGGTGACCCTCAACTATGTAAGATATTTCATTGCTACATCATACCTGCAATTTTACTACTACTATGAATCGTAATAGAAATGTCTGATATATGACCTCAACTGGGTTGAGAACCTCCAGTCTGAGACGAGGTTCCGTGGCAGCATGTGGACAGAGTGTGACTTGGGACAACTCTTCACAGAAAGATGATACTGATCCCTGATTTAAGAGCATACGGGCTTTAATAGAAGAGGCCTGTCTTTTTTAAAGGAGAGTCTAGGGAGGATGGAGTAAGGCTAGTAGAACTTGACTGTGGGGAGTTTTGAGCTTGTGTGTCCCAGGCCTGTGGGGCAAACGTGCAAAATGCCCCACCTAGCCTATCTTCAACTCTAGTGGGATGGGCTTCCCCGTGCCTTAACCAGATGCTATGTACTGAAAAGGAAACTGGATGGGTAGCCATATGAATTACTAACACATGTTACAAAGGGGCTCTTTTTCTCCTCCTAGGAAACTTTAAATAGTGTTTTGTTGTGGGGATTGAACCCAGGGCCTTGAGTGTTCTGGGCAGGTAGTGTCCCTGCCCCACCATCCTACAGTCACATGTAACCTGGCTAGTCTTGAACTCCTGATCTGCCTTTGCCCTACTTTCCAAGTCCTGCTGTTACAGGTAGACTGCAGCCAGCTTCCTCCCCTGTTTTGCTATAAGGTCTGAAGTAGCCCAGGCTGGCCTTGTACTCATTGTATCTCAGACAGGCTTTAAGCATCTAATAATACCCTTCTGTCCCAGCCTCCTAAATAACAGGAGTGTGTCATACTGCCTGGATGAAACGTGAAATAATTATATTTTTAAAAATGTCTACTTGGGAGTTTATTTGCCATGTGTGTGCCAGGAAATGACCTTGCTAGCTTCATACAAGTATGTGCTGCATATCGAGCAGGGCACTTTTGTACCCCATCTGTCCCCTTCATTCCCCCAGACAACTTCACGCCTACTTTCATTTTTATATACATACATGATTTTATATGACCATAAAATCTAGGAACACATGCCATTTGTCTGCCTCAAACAGGCTTAATTTACTTCTACCTTCTGCAGATCCCCATGAAGGGCAAAGAGAAATGTCCTTTTGCCCTGGAGATTGCAGGACAGGATAAAGCTGAAGAAGCACTGTGGTCTCTGCCCTGTTTGATTAGATGAAACCCTCCACAACCACTATAATTATTTCACTCATCTAATGAGTTAAGCATGCTGCATATATTATCTTAGTAACCCCCATAGAACCACAATGCACAGTCACTGTCCGCATTTTACGTGTAAACCCGTTGAAGTGTCGCAGACCAGAGGCACACAGGCGGTAAAGGGAATCCCCAGTTTCCACCCTTCCCAGGCAGTTCTGTGAGCTGTTACTGAACGTAATGAATCAGCAGTGATAGGAACCTCTGCTTATGAGGGGAAGATTAAGTTGGATGACTGTTAATTATGGCCTGAGTCATAGGAAATGTACACCATGAGGTGTGAGGGAATTTTACCAGTGTCCTAGTGTTTTCTTTCTGTCTTAAGCATGTGCCAAGTTTGATCTGTTTAGTATTTCATAAACTTGGTTGGAACCATACAAGATGAGGATTTATGCCACTGTAATTTGACCCGTGTTATACCGAAAGTCAACTAAGTTTTGAGTTCACCACGCAATAGTATGTTATGCAAGTCACTTAATAGCCTTCATCTTTCTCTCCCTGTGGTCAGCGACCTCACTTGAAAGAAAGTAAAACTCTTGGTATTGTGCTTATTAGCACCTGTTTCAGATTACAGGTTAGAAGGAATATATGCGATCCTTATCATCAAAGGAATTTGATCTCAGTAAACCAGTTATTCCTCCTTTTGTCAGGTACATGATAGTGTGTGCTTATAGTCCCAGAGAGCTGCTCTTAAGGTTGAGGCAGGGGATTATTTCATAGCTCAAAATTCCAGTCCTGAGCAACATAGCAAGACCCAACCTTAATAAACAAGTGTCTGGGGAGATGACTTCAGGATAAGGGGGCTTGCTATATTTTCCTGAGGACCTGAGTTCAAATCCCAACACCACAGGCATGGTGATACACACCTTTACCTTCAGTGCTGGGGGAGGAGCACTGAAACAGGAGGATTTACCTTGTCCCCTAGCTCCAGGTTCAGTGAGAGACCCTGTCTCAATGCAATAAGGTGAAGAGAGAGAACAGAACACCAGTGTCCTCTGGCATGGCCATTTGTATTTATACACCCAAAAGAAAAGAAGCAAAGCATCTAAAGATTTCTCTAGAATTTGAAGTGTTTATCTAAGCTATGCCTGTCTTGAGTGTAGTGCAGGCTTTGTGTCATCACTGTATATTCTCAGCTCCTCCTTCCTGTCCCTTGGGAGCAATGTCACTGGTTACTTATTCAATTGTCATAATCACCCAATACATCATTGCCATTATTCTCTTAAACAAGCAGTTCTCTTTTAGGTTAATGAAGAGCTAGAAAATTAAGAACCGGAAAAGACAAAGATTTTGTTCATCTTTATGTACTGGTGTGCCTTATGTAGATTTAAGGGTTTTGTTTTGATTTGTCTGGTCAGTTTTTGGTTTTTTGAGTAGCCCTGGAACTTAAAGATCCTTTTGCCTCTGCCTGCAATTAAAGTGTGTGCCACCATGCCCAGCTGGATTTAAGTTTCTGACCTCCATTTTCACTTGGCTTGAGGAAATGCTCACTCCTTGCAGAACAGGTTGACTGGCGATGAACTCCTTTAGCCTTGTCTTGGAATGTGTTTATTTTCCCTTTCCTTTCAAAGGATACCTTGCTGGGTCTGGTTGCCTGGTGTTGTTGACTCTGTAGCCCACATTTTGTTTCCATAGCCTCTCCCAGGAGGCCTGCTGGCATCCTTGTTTCTCTGGTGGTGGCTGAGTCAGTCCACTGGCTTCTTTAAAACTCATCTTTGCTGTCTACAGTTTGAATAGGACATGCCTGGGTGTCAAGTTTTTAATATTTAATTTTGGTGTTCTGTGAACATCTCACATGTCTACTGGGGTGTCCATCATTAACTTTGGAAGTTGCCAGCCATGACCACTTCAGATATTCTCCACTCTCTTGTGATATGTTGAACCTTCTGGAGGTTTTGGAATTTTTTTTCTTAAATTTTTTTTCTTTTTGTATTTCATGTAAATATCAAGCTAACTTGTTCTTCAGCAGTGCTGTCCCACTGATGAGCATTATCACAAGGATTCTTTGTTTTTGTTCCAATACTTGTCATTTCTAGAATTTTCCTTGGCCCTTCAACTTTCCATCTGTCTGCTTAAAGGACTCTTTCCCTTGCCCAACTTTGTCCAGCTGTGCCCTCCTTGTACTTGAAGTTTTTTGGATAGTCCTGTGCATGCATGCCCCCCCCTCTCTCTCTCTCTCTGTGTGTGTGTGTGTGTGATTCCTTGGATTCTTTTTCTTTCTTAACATTTATTCTTTAATTTTATGTGTATGAATGTTTTGCCGGAATGTGTTTGTATGTACAACGCATGAGCACCTGGTGCCCTCAGAGGTCAGAAGAGGTGTCAGATCCCCTGAAACCAGAGTTACAGGTGATTGTTAGATGGGAGTGCAGGAACTGAGCCCCTATAAGAATAATAAGTACTCTTAACCACAGAGCCATCTCTCCAGCCCTTGGGTCTCGTTCTTACTTTGTGTGTTCCAACTTCAGGGTATTTCTCCATGTCTTTTAGCAAACTTTGTAAATTTTTTGTTGTTGTTGTTGAAAGGTAGACATATTAGGTTGGGAAATAGGAATTTAATTTTGATGTACTTGTTCATCAGTGTTGTACTTAATTCTTGCAACTGTAGATACTACAGGCTCCATAGTTCTTTGATGTACTGTTTTGGATAGCCCTCTTGACTGGGCTTCCTAATGGGTATGGGTTGTATTTCCAGGATTGAACTTCACAAGTAAATATTAAACCCTCTAATCTACCACTTGACTCTTGATGAATATTTTGTCCTTTTAAGTCAAATGTAAAGGCTAGAAAAAAACTGGGATAGGACATAGGGCCCCCCAAACATTTCTCATTCCAACACTGGTTTCTATCCCACCTCCAGCAGTTCATTAGTTTTGCTGGTCTATCTCAGAACTGCTGTGGCTCCTGGCTTCTGCTCCATGAAGGCAGAACTCGTTCATTATTCTAGATGAAGCTACATATATTGTGGTGTGGTAGTTGGACCTGTGACCTTAATTCTGTGGTGTATCCAAGAATTTTTCTATTTCATCCAGTCTTTCCTTACTGTGGACTCCCAAGCTGTTACACTGTAGAAGAAATACTTTGGTAATATTTTTCATAGACAACAAATAAGTGGTTATCTATAGAGTATTGGTGGTGACTAAGTCCATAAGCTTGTCTCCTAACAGCTGAAGAACTAAACCTAGCTATCAGAGTCTGCCTTGTGTTCTGACTGTCTATACAGAAGATTTCTGGAAGATTGTGAGTAGAAAATGACAGTGGTGTGAAAAATAGAGGGGTTATAATCTAGGACAGTGTTTCTCAGCCTTCCTTACACTGTGACCCCTTAATACGGTTCCTCATTTTTGGTGATCCCCAACCATAAAGTTATTCTTGTTGTTACTTCATAAC